TTACTTTTGATTAACAACCTGAATCTGTTTACTTTGAGTACTCATAAGCCTAGCAAACGAGGAGAAGAGAAGTACAAAGTCCCGCTACTTCCGTGAGTTATTTTAGGCTGTTGGGTGTGCGAAGGACACGTTGGTCCATCTCACATTTGATTACTTTGACCTTACTAGCTATGTCAATGGGCCACTAAGGCCCGATAGCACTTAAAAACCATTGAGGGTCCTTTCAATATGAAATTGGGTCATAGAAGGCCCAATACCACATTGTCGTTCTCCCTTGTGCCCAAAGAGCATGTTAATGGATTTCAAAGGTTCAACAAGCATGATTGAAGCCTTTAACCCCAAGGTTTTGGAATGTTTACTTGTCTTAAGCAATGTATCATTGTTGGAGGGTTTGATTGAACGATTTGTTATTTTTGTATCGACTCGAGACCGATCGATTCGTTTATAACGATACTTGGAGGTATGCATGTATTCATCTTTCGATTTTTGTACATCGTAGTTTAGCATTTTTGACTCAATATTCTAGAAATAAAATAATTGACATAAGAATATTGGTTTGATCTTTTTCCGTCATTCTTTAATAAAAACGACAATTTTAGTCCCTTATATAAAAAAAGACATTTTTGCCCTTAAACTCTTTTCTGGACACTTTGGAGTCATAAACTTGTTCAAATGATATTTTTAGCTCCAAAACTTATTCTTTGGCAATTTCAGCCCTTCCAGAAAAATATTTTACGGCTAAAATCCAAACTTTATGCAACTTTTACAAATTTGACCCAAAATCCAAAAACTTTACATTTTTTATCCTTTTTGGAAAAGAAAGACATTTGTAACCCTTGAAATAGTTTTATTTAACTCTTTATCCCCTGTTTTGAAGAAATCACCATTTCAGCCCTTTTAATTTCATGATTTTCGCAACTTTGGGCTTGTTGGGCCGAAAGGCCCAAAAATTAGTCCATTAAGCTAATATTTACATTTTAAGTCCTTTGAAGTGCATAAAATTCATAAAAACATCTTTTGTAACTGTTTTGACTCCTTTGACCCTTAAGAAAACTGTAAATGACAATTTTTTACCCCACTTTTGTTTATTTGACAATTTAAGCCCAAAAATGGGTTTTATGTTGAAATATGTTTATCACAATCTTATAAGTTAATATTCTTGACTTGTTTAGTATAATATAACTTAGATCATGTTTTTTTTCCTTCTTATGGCATAGATATCGATATTTCTTCCCTTTTGGTTACATATTCACCACAAAAACATATAAAATCACACATACATGCATAGAATCATACATAGCACACACATACACATAGATCTACACATTTTGCTTGTATTCTCCCCCATAAAACTTGTAAAAACCGAAAAAGAGAAGGGTATGAACTCACCTTGAGTTGTAGGTTCGGTTTTTGAAGAAGAATGGAAGAAAATTTGGTCCTAGCAAGCCTTCTTGGAAGATCTTGAACTTAGAGTTTTCTAAGATAGTGATCATGAGTTTGAATAGAATGAGGAGGATATTTTTGATGAAATGAAGTAGTTAGATCATGTATTTAAACACCAACTTACCTTAAATGTTGGTTTTTGTAGAAGAATCTCCTTGAAAAGCTCTAAATCTCGAAATTTTTGAAGAATGAGTGCAAGTGTTCTTGAGAGGATTTGGAAAGAGTTTAAATGAATTTTGTGGGTGTGTGTGTGTCTCCTCTCGGCCGAGAATCAAGAAGAAGAAGAGAGATGAGGTTACATGGAAATATGAGAGAGAGCTTGGATGTTTGAAGTGTAATGCCTAGTTATCCAAAAAATAAAAATAAGGTGGCAAGCAAAAGTCAGCTCTTCCTTCCTCATGTTTTGTGGTTGGGCCGAGAATGGGCTTATTGAAAGGAGTTATGTAATAATTTGAGCCCATTCTTGCATTGTTGGAAAAACATGTAGCGAATGAGGAAAATTTTCGGCCCATTGGGCTCCCATGAGGGTTTACGGCCCAAAATAAATCTAGAATGAGTTTTATGGCCCATTAGGGCTAATTAGGTTAGTTGTGGCCCAATAAGGTCCATTAGGGATAAATTAGTTCATTTTAGGCTTATAAGACCCAAAATATTATGTTTCATGTATATGGGTCCAATTAGATCCCATTTAAGAGTTCTAAGCCCAAAATAGTCAAATTGGAAGCTTATTGGCCTATTAGGCCCAATATGGAAATCCTAGTCCAAAATGGACTTAAACCGGGATTTTTAGGGTTTTCAATTCTTTGTTGACTATTTACAGTGCTTGTATGAAGTGTTTGATTGAAGTTCTGTTGTTATTAAACAAGCATCATGCATGCTTTCACATTGTTGGTTTATAGTTGGTATCATTGTTGTTGTTACAAGGCAACAAAATTCATAGTTGTGACAAAATTTTATTGAAAAAAGAAATTTTATTTTATTTTTTCATCACTACCGTAAAATTTTAATTATCATCGTACAACGAGTGAGATGGCAATCGGGAAACAAGCTGCGCCGCTAAGTCGTGCGAGCAAACAAGAGTGGGCCAATTTCTAGTGTGCTTACTATTCTCTCAAGTTTTCCAAGGAGTTTTTGGTGATTTGTGATTCCACTTGAGGCTTCCACACTATTAGGGCTAAGCTCTTAAAGTTCAAGACTTCAAGCCACATCAAAATGTATGTCTTCTAACTAGACTTTTGTAGTATAGTTGCTTCATAATATGCTATTTAGGATAAACCTTGGAATATTGAATATTTTCATGTATAATTGAGAAAACATAGATCCAAGGTTTATAGGGTTGCATGTACACCATAGGAGTGTTAGAATGCTCAAAACCCTTCAGTGGTATTAGAGCCTAGACTTGTTTTCAATTATACTTGATGCTATTTGCAATAAAAATCATTTTTTTTGGAATCTGCCAGTTCACCACGAGGTGGTAAAATTTACCACAAGGTTGTGACTATTCAGTGATTTTTTTTTTTTAGTTTTTTTGGCCTGTTTTGGATTAGAATCATTACCACAAAGTGTTTTTGTTCATAAAAATTGATTTTGATGTTATGATAATGTTTATTCTCATCCAAATAAATGATATTTGTCAAAGTTTCAAGACTTGTTTTAGTTTATGTGATTAGCTAAGTTCTTGAAAATTGTTGATATAAATTATCTTCACTTATGAGTTTGATCTTTTTTACAGAAAAATTACTTGATTGTTGTGATAATTGGTAATTTGATCTTAATGGTTTTTATGAACTCCATAACTTATCCTCAAGTTATGGAAAATGAAGAGTTCTTCTTTTAAAGCGTCATTAAAAGTTTTGGAAACCATAAGCTATGTCTTCGATAGGTCAGTGAAATGTTTTTTATACTCAGTCCATAGGAGTTTGGATTTGTCATTAACCGTGTCTTGTGATTATGGTTTTGACAAATTCACATGGATAGGAACGCATACACCATGAAATCCAAATGTAATAAGGTTTCTTTCCGATTTATGAAAATGATGGTGAGGAAACGTTTTCACTAAGTTATTTTAAGTAGATAGTAATTGTGATATTTGCATTCTCAAAGTCATTAGTGGAGCGTGTGTGGTTAACCGACACACTAACATGGACTTGTGATGAATGGAAAAGGTCTAAAAAAATGAGACTATGATTACAACATCCCTTTTTCATAATTCTGAAATTGTTTAGACACATGTGTGCTATCTAAGGAAATGTGTATGATTTTGATAAAAAAATTTATCAAAGCATCTCGTATCAGAAGTCTGAACTTTGGTAAGAAAGTCAATAAAGTATTGATTTCTAGAAGTCCAGCTGATTTGTGAGTACATGTCAAAGCTAGTGGGAGCATAAGTGTTATGTTGATAATTCTCATGTTAGTGGGAGCATGATAATTATGATAAAGTGTTGTAAGTTAGCGATTTTAATTATAGAAAACAAAAAGTTTCAATTGGGAAAAGTTGTTTTGCTATAATTAAGGGAGAAAAAATTATACTTCATTTCAAATCTAAAAGCTTAGATCGTGAGATTTTAATCAAATTTAGTCAAGAGTATATTTGAATCTTATGTTGGAATGCTTCAACATAAGGAAATTCTATATATGGGAAACATTATTTGTGTTCTAAAATTCGATTATGATTACGACATCCCTTTTCATAATCTGAATTATGAGAACATGGCAAATAGAAATAGAAATATTATAGCAAAAGACTGGTCTGGTATCATGTCTTTATGTGAGACATCTTGAATCGTCTCCCATATGCTTCAGATATAGGATCGACTGCATGTGCTATAATATTCATCTGTTCTAAATTCTTCCAAATGCCTATGGCATTAAGAGGGAAAAGTTACTAGAATTGGATATGACTAAAGTGATTAAGCAATTGTCGAAGACAATCTAAGGTTTACCAATGATTGGTTGCTCAGGGACAGTTGGAAGTATGGTGTAAATTTTTGGAGAGGACCATATTGACATATTATGAAAAATGGCGACTATTGTTCAAAAGTGATAGTCAAAATGGGAATATGGAGATGTCTCCGTAGGTGGAAGTTATTCAATTTGTGTAAGATTAGAAAAAAAACTTAATGCAAGAAGGATGTTCAAAGCAATGCACTTTGAATATGAGACTTCATTTCCATGGAGTTGATCTCCATTGGAATACTCTGTAATGTCTGTTGACAAGTCTTTGTGACTTTGTGCAAGAGGATCAATGCATATATATTTAAAATCTAACAAATTTCGGTAAATGGCAGGAATTTGGAATTCTTGCATTTGCGGTAAGGATTTGGGTTTGTGAAATGAGAATCATTGGATCTATGTTCAATCGAACTATTTCACAAAGTAAAGATCATAGACAAACTTAGGGTTTGTTTGTTTTTTTGAAAAAAATTCTTTTTGGGCTCTTTCATCTGCGGGCGAGTAGACATTTGTCAAATAGACTGTTTGTTTTCTGGAAGACAAAATAGCCCGAAAAGTCTTTTTCATCACTTATCCAAAAAGACCTAATAATACCCCTTCTAACCATGGAATACATTTGTCACCTCCATCGCCCCCATTCGATCTTCCCCCTTTCACGACTGCATCTTCTCACACCTGCGATCTCTCCACAGCAGCCAATACCTCCAGCGGACGTTGGTCTCGCTCTACCTCCCCCGTTCCATGTTGTCGTCATCCCCATCGTCGGCTCATCAAGTATCGTTCCAACTCTTCTTTATCCTTCTATTTTTGGTTGTTCTTGGCTCTTCTGTTATGTGACTCTTCTGTCTCCTGTCTCGTTTTTCTTTTCTTGCCTCTTCTCAACTTGTATTATCACTTTAGACTCCATTAATAGTGAAATCTCATCACCATTCTGTCAATTAAAAATGTCAATGTTATTTGATTTCTCAAATAACTTCCAGTTTTCCTTCCTTTATGTTTTAAACTCAATCTCAAAATCAATATGGGATTACTTGTTAAGAATTTTGAGAATCTATGAAAACCCATTTGATTTCTGATTACAATAATGGGAGGGATATGAACTTGGTGTTGAATTTCATAGGCAGACCATATATTTTTAAGATTGAAAATTAGTATACATATTTGACATAAGTAGAGTACCTTTTAATATATGAATGATATTCCGATCAGAATAACATCAATTCCCATAACAATGAGACTTGACTGCATTAGAATGTTGTACTCTATGCTTGAAAATGAGTATATTTGATGTCATCAAAGCATGCATTGTCAATGTTGTTGATTTTGTTACATGCTTCCAGTGTAGTGCTTTTATTTAATTATATTTCTTGATCAACATCATGTTATTTGTCATCAGCTTTAGATTCATTTGAATCAAATGTTTCTATTTTATGTTGTTTGTCTAACATGTTGTAATCAATAGATATGAATCATGAAGTTTTTTATTTTTAGTTTTTTAAGTCGGTTCTTTCATGGACTTAAGTTATAAAATTATGATATATAGCTTGTCTAAATGGGAGACAAACTACAATGGTCGAACGATCAAGTAAAATATTTATTAGATACGTGTATCGAAGAGGTCAACAGAATTGGTAGAAAAGGAGGTAGCATGCACAAGGAGTCTTGGGTTATTTTAGGGAAAGCTCTAAAAGAAAAGTTTGACATGGATCCTTCACAAAAACAATTGAAAAATGCTTTTGATAATCTAAAAGTGTAACGACCCAATTTTCACGTACAAAAATTTTGTTTATAAATCGCTACTTGGAGGTCATTAATAATTAAAACATTGTATGATTAATCCATTTCACATCGAAAACCAAATTGAAATCCATAACATTTAAACAACCAAAATATCAAAGTGTCAATCCCAGAATAAACTCATAATTGCGAAAACCAAAGTGTGTGTGTGATATGCTGCTACCGCGCCGGCTCCTTTCCCTTAGCTGAAGAGGTACTTGAAACCAAAACTGAAAACTGTAAGCACGAAGCTTAGTGAGTTCCCCCACTGTACCACATACCATATAATCACATAACATACATAAATTGTCAGGCATATCTGGGTGCTGGCCTCCCCTTCGGTCCTCTCAACCGGATACCGGGGAAACTATTTCTCCCCTCTACTAGTACCACATAACATGTATCACAATATCAGAATCTATCTAACATGGCTGGGTATGACTACCCCCTTCGGCCCTACCGACCGGATATCTTGGGGACTATCTCCCCCTATTGTCACTAGCACATAAATGCAACACAGGTAGTAGTAATCCCTTAGATGAATATCATAGAGACAATCATCTACATACAACTCCTACTGGTGGGCCGGCATTATGGCCGTAGACCCACCGCTACTGGAAGGTAACTCACCTCGCAGTAGTTGCTGATATGATCGGGAGCTGACTGTCTACTACTGCTACCGTTGCTCCGGAAATCTTCCGGCTGTAACTCCCACAACATACTAAATCAATCACTGCTAACTATCCTTTGGGTAAAATGACCATTTTACCCCTGATCATGTCCTAAGTCAAAGTCAGAGTCAACTTTCAGTTAACTCGAGTCGCCGAGTTGGCTCCCCAACTCGCCGAGTCCCTGTCCAATCGAATGACCTGGGTCCCGTTTCTACTCGTCGAGTTAGGCGTTGACTCGACGAGTTCTCCTTCCAAACTGATGTTCAAGTCCTTCATCTTACTCGCCGAGTTGTATGAACAACTCGGCGAGTTCATCTTCATCCGATGAACACTTATGCTGCGACTCGCCGAGTTGTATAAACAACTCGCCGAGTCTGTTCTTGATCTAAGAAGATTGCCTTGAACTCGCCAAGTCAGGGCATTGACTCGCCGAGCTCCTCCATGGATGAGTTTGGCTTCCAACTCACTGAGTCACACCCCGTGACTCACTACTCCCTCTCAAACAATGAAAAGGGGACAAATTCGTGGACTCGCGAGCAGACTCGCCAAGTCAGATGAACGAATCGCCGAGTCGTTACCATGCAATCATTATATGATGGATTTTGCTTGAATTCAGCTTATGCTATCCACAGATCTGGGTTCCTAGAGCATGAATAACACGTAAAGTTTCCAACTTTACGTGTAGATATTCACCCATGAGGGTTTTAGGGTTCAAAATGCACCAAATAAGTAGATCTAGGGTCTTTATGCAATATGGGTCCATAAAGGCAGTAGATCTGAGCTCCTGGAGCTCAATCATGCCTAGATCTAGAGGCCAATCAGCTTATTACGAATTATATTGCACATGCAAGCTTGGGGAAGGGCTCAAGAAGGACTTTAATGGAGTAACAAGCATAGAAACAGAGGGATAACGAGTTATACCTCAAAGAAATTACTGAGAGAACACAGAGATGCTTGGCTTCCTTCCTTTCCTCTTGATCTACTCCTCTTCCTTCTCAAAATCTTCAAGGAAACACACTAATAGGCCTCAAACTCACAAGAACAAGGGCTAGAACGTATGGAGAGCTTATGAGGGTGAATGGGGCAGAGTTGGGGCGCAAATGATCGTTTAAATAGGGTGCAAACCCTTGGAAATTAGGGTTTCATCAGACAGCTCAGACTCGCCGAGTCCCTAATATGGACTCGCCGAGTCGCCAACTTAACCGCGCCCCAAGTCTCGTCTCTACTCGGCGAGTCGGGCCTCCAACTTGCCGAGTCCACGGCCAAAAATACAAAATACTCAGATATATCTTACGTACCAGGAATCAGGTGCTACAAAAAGCTAAATACGTAGGGTGGAAATATTTGAGAAACAAGTCAGGGAATTTATACAATGCTCAAACAAATTCTTTCCCTTAGTGAACACATAATGGGAAGAATTCAAGAAGGTGTGTCTATATAATTTAAATTTTCTAGTTTATATCCAATTTTAATAATGATGTAAAAATACTTATAATTACTATTAATCCTGGTTTAGGGTCATCCGAAGGCAGGATCATTGAGGACACATCCATTGCCTTATCCCAACCTTTGTGCGTCTTTGTTTGATGGAAGTAATGCCAGTGGTAGCATCAAATGGACCTCTACTCAAACTACACCCGCAGATACATCATCTTCTTTTCATCGTGTCCAAATACTTCTGATTGATGACAATCCTTTTAATAGCCTAGAAGATGATGATGATGATGATGACGCTTCCAATGACACTGGTGCTCGAGCTCCTAGTGATAAAGCTGATGGTGGTTCTACTGAGAGGCCTGATAAAAGGAGTAAAACCATTAATGCTTCTACTGATAGGCCCGATAAAAGGGCTAAAACCAGTGATGCTTCTACTGATAGGACCGATATGGATAAAGCCTCTAAAACCTCTGTTTGTCTTGATGAGTTGAGTCTTGATATGCAAAATGCTCTACAACATATGGTGAAGAGTAAGGAAGCTAGTTGAATTAGACCTAATGGATCCTATATTTTTGGTAGCCTTTCACCTTTTTGGAATGTCCATGAATATGAGAGAGTCATGGATGACATTGCCACCGATACCTAGGGTCTTAAAATTGTGGATAAGGATGATTGGCACCACATTAGGGATGTTTAAGTAGTCTTTATACTTATGTTTTTTCTTTCATTTTGAACAATTATGTGTTTCTTGAACTTATGTTTGACATTATGTTTTTTTGCTATCATTTGAATGATTGTGTACTTATTTGACACAAATATTGCTAGTATTGGGATTATATGCTTATTTGAAACAAAATGTGTGCTTTTAATATGATACAAATGCTTAAGTTTTTTGCTTTAGCATATTGGGATTTAACAAGTGTTGATTGTTTAACAGGTTCACAATGGATTACGATAAAAAGTTGCGCCTCCTAATTGTTATGTATTTGTATCTTCGCTTTTTTGGGAGAAGAGGTTTGAAAAGAATGCGAGATAATACCTCAAAAACGTTTGGGCATCAATTCACATTAGAGTTATAAAAGGAACTAATAACCAATGCATTGAGCTCTTGCGTATGTCACGTGATTCTTATGTTCGGCTTTGCACACATTTTATAGTAAAAAGTTGGTTAAAGGATAGTAAACATATATCGGTTGAGGAGAAGATGGCGATGTTCTTGATGATGATTGGTCACAATCAATGTTATGTAATCATCAAACGTAAATTTCAACACTCAAAACAAACGATTCGTAAGTATTTTTATGAAGTATTGGATAAAATGATGGTGTTCGCAAAGGATATAATGGTACCAACTTCCTTTAATCCAAATCCAAACATTCTGGGACATAATAGGAGGTTACGAAGGATTTTTAGAGTAACGGTTGGTGCACTTGATGGAACTTTGGTACATGCTAATGTCCCTCTCGACAAACAACATTTGTATAGAGGAAGAGGAAAAGGTGATTGTTATCAAAATGTATTGGCAATATGCGACTTAAATATGATTTTTACGTTTTTCGTGGCTGGTTGGGAAGGGATAGCACATGATTCAAGAATATTATCTGAAGCTTTAGCAGAGATGCACCATTCCCATTTCCACCGCCAGTTTTGTTTACATTTTCATTTTAATATTTCTACTTTTTTTAAATTAATTATTTCCTTATATTTACAGATAAGTATTATCTTTGTGATGCTACGTATACACACACTCGAGGATTTATGGCTCCTTATCGTAATGTGCGGTATTGGCTTGGAGATTTTCATCGAAGTCTTGCATTAACCAACAAAGAAAAAATTAATCACTTACATGCAAAACTTCGAAATGTCATTGATTTTGGTGTCTTGAAAGCACGTTTCCCTATATTGAAGAGAATGGCGCCATTTCCATTGGTTACACAAAGAAACATCGTCATTGCATGTTTTGCCCTTCATAATTATATAAAAAAGAGGGATTAAGTGATGAGTATTTTGCTCAATATAATCAAGTCGATATATCACTTCAAAGCAACAATGTACAAGATGATGATGATGATGAGGAAGAAGAAGAGGATGACGTGAATGAGGTACAACCACATGGAAGTGTAAGAGACTAGGAATATATGGTTCATCTACGGGATCAAATTGCTGTTCAGTTAATGGGAAATGTAAAATGAATATTTTCATTAAAAAATATGTTAGTTTTATGAATTTAGTTTTAATATTGTAAGACAATCATCGAAACAATCCTTTATGTTTTTAAAAATATCAACTTTAATGAGTAAACGGTCTTCTAGTTTGAATCGAAATATATATAGTTTATCTAATGTTTTAAAAAGTATTATATGTTTGAAATTGTATGAAATTATTATTGGCAAAGTTTGAGTCAAATACAAATTTTAATAGATTAGTAATGTATGAGATGTTGAGTTTTTAGCATTTGGGCTATGGTTGTTTCAACATTAATTTCAAAGATCATTTTTGTTGTTGAACAGTGGAAATTAATGCAAATCGGGTGGCAACGTGTAAGTATACAATTCTTATTAAGAAAAAATCTAATTTGTTTTTTTTATGTTGCTTTTTCATATTATCTAATATTTTTTACAAAATACTATAATTCTATTAAATTGTTCGTAAATATTATTAAATGGTTAGATTTTCAATTTATTAAAAACCAGCGTGAATTATGAGAAAAAAATATGGTTAATTGATTTCCTTTATTACAACATCTCTTAAGTTTTAGTTCATTATAATTAAAAAACAAACAATCTTTTTGCATTAAGACTTTTTGTATGAATACATAAAAAAAGACTTTTAGTCCACGTCTTCTTCCGCAGACATGGAAAAAGACAAAAGACATTTGACCACTTCCAAAACAAATACCACCTTAGTGTGCATACTTGGTGTATGACGTAACTAATGTTTGGAAAAACATAGTGTGCACATTTGGTGTATGGCATGACTAGTGTTTAGAAAACATAGTGTACATGCTTGGAGCATTGGGCAACTATTGTTTTAATTCAAATATTAAGTTGATAAATTTGAAATAGTATGCAATGAATAATGTGTAATCAATATGGTGATAAATAAAAGGTGTTCTATTTATGTTCATAAGTTCTGAGACCATATTGGATTCGATTATTCTTGTGTTTCACTTTGCATGTTTTGACTTCCAGAATAACTAATTCGTTCTTCCTAAATGACTAAGTTGATCAAACCATCCACAGTCGATAATACGTTGGAAGTAGGTATTAAGGCAAGACAGTCATGAAGCTGGATTGTAGATGCCCAAGGTATTGGACATAGCAAGAGTTGTTGCAACATTCATGAGTGCTCATAAGTTATGAGTATTAGATTAAACCCACACTCATTTGACTCACTTCATGTATTTTATCACGAGTGATCATGAGACGATAATATCTTATATTATTCAAACCTAGAGATATGAGTTGTTGACTATGAGTTGGTTATACATTGATTACACGAAAACGTATTTGGTAACTCGATGTTATAAAACGTGGCTTTGTGTATGATTCAACAAGTAGTAGAACAAGCAAATGATTCGAAGTTTATCCATTCCTTTTACCCTTATAGGGATAAAAGTGATATATGTAAGCCCCTCGATGATTTAGTGATGACACCCCGAAGTGCTTGGCCAAGCCTGGACTGATTTGATTTGTTCAATTAGTCGGTCGTCATAAATTGGAAATCGGGAAACAACAAATGGACAGAGAGAATGATTATAATCCACGTCTCAAGCCATATGATATCTAGAATGGAGGAATATATGATCCCTTATCTAATGGACAAACCATTGACTAGATCAGAGTTCGATAGCGGCTTTAAGAGCTACAATTGCTAGTCGGGTTTTGGAGTTATACGTAATAATAGTTTTAGACTTATCCAAGTGGGAGACTGTTGGATTATATGTCTAAGCCCATAACTATTATTGGTATGCATTCGACCCGAGAGTAGTATGGGTCAAGTTCATTTAGGTTGGGCTAAGCTTGCATGGATAGTCCATGGAGTTTTTAACCCATGGATCCTATGGAAATGAAAGGTCATGGGTATTAGGGTTTACATGGATGAAACCCTAATCCTCCATACTATATAAAGAGGTCCTTGGCACTAGTGTATGAGCAAACAAGAGTGAGCCAATTTCTAGTGTGCTTACTATTCTCTCAAGTTTTCCTAGGAGTTTTTGGTGATTTATGATTCCACTTGAGGCTTCCACACTATTGGGGCTAAGCTATTAAAGTTCAAGAATTCAATCCACATCAAAATTTATGTCTTCTAACTAGACTTTTGTAGTATAGTTGCTTCATAATATGCTAGTTAGGATAAAACCTTGGAATATTGAATATTTGCATGTATAGAGAAAACATAGATCCAAGGTTTATAGGGTTGCATCTACACCATAAGAGTGTTAGAATGCTCAAAACCCTTCAAAAATGGCTTGCTACAATCAAGTAGGCACGAAGCCCAAATTAAACAAGTCCAAAGCCAAACACTAATAGAGCCTAAAAATCATCTAAGCCCACATACTGCGTATGTGCGGCGTACATGGCTCGTACACCCAACGTATGTTGATGTCCATCCGGAGTCGGGACAATAACCCAGTACGCATAACTTACACTAGAGTACACTCGACGTATTGTCCAGTCAACCCATTTTCATTCCTAAGTATTAATCCATTCAGTATTTATGTCAAAAACTTAGATCCAAACTCAAAATAACATCTTAAGCCATAAAGTTACAAATTTTGTGCTTTTGCATGCATGAATGGGGCTCAAACCATGAATTAAGTCCACTAACTCACTTGGATGGTCACTAACACTTGCATGGTTGGGTCTAAACCACCAAGATACGATTTTTATGATTCAAAACACTTCCAAGGGTCCAAAAAGACATCTCAAAAGGCCTGGATTTGCTCATACTCCAAGAAACCTAGCTATGGGACCAAAATATACCATATTTTACCCTAAACCTAGATCTAAGCTTATAATGATCAAGGTTCAGACTTTATATATTTAGTGGACTAGAAATGGTGCACAAACTCTAGATCTTCAAGCTCCTTATTCTCGTTTGCTCCTTCCAAGCTTCCTTCCTCTTCAAAACCACCAAAGATCACCCCAAATACTCAAGGTAAGCTCAATATGCACTAAAAACGGCTAGGGTTTCAAATTTGACACTAAAAGAGGTAATGAGGATGATAAGGTAAGGAGGGTGAAGGATTAAGGTGCTTAAATATGGTGCAAAATCTAAAACTTAGGGTATGTATATGGCTTGAGTACGCCCTGCATACGCATGGGTACGCTTAGTGTACGTTGGGATCATCCTGATGGCTCGCATGCAACGAGTACGTCGTGCGTACCAAATTTATACCCAACGTACTCAGAACCCTCCATCACCTTTAAGTTAAATTGAACAAATAGATTAAATCATTACTTGATACCTGGCAACTTGGGTGTTACATCGTACGTGCAACTTCTCAACTATATCAGAGTTTGTTGGGTTGGAGTTAAACAAAGA